AAACTACAGCTAATGCACATACAGGTTCGCTTATCTGGGTATCTGAATTAGCACTCACTGCTTTCCCCACAACTGACAATATTCGACTGTGTCCCTTTCATCGGCTGGCCTACAGTGCCAAACAAACTTTCATAGTTTAAATTTTTCAAAAAATTTCCAAAACGCGCAATATAGGGGTAGAAATACGTCAGTTGAAAAATCTCGTTATGGTTTTATAATCATTTACATTCCACTTATTTTCCGCTCGCCGAACTTGTCCTGCACTGCGTTTGCGGTGTTATTGTCCTGTTTTTAAAACAGGGTCGGATAAAAAATTTAGACACTTTGAGTCCTCTACTCTAGAACATTAGTATGCAGAGGATGCTAGAAGTACGATTGCTGCAGCATCAATTTCCAAGCAAATCTTCAAAAACAGAAAGCCGGAATTTGGAACATCCATCTTAGCAGTGCTGCAAAGCTGTAGAGGCTGATTGTGATTCAGTGACATATTCCAATTTTTTTTTTTTTTTTTTCAGAGTGGAGGCATCATGTGCAGTGAAAATCTCAGTTGCACTGATGATTTTTGGGTCAATGATTGCAGCGGTGTAAGCCTTTTTTTTTCAGATTTGTTCCCGGGAACTGTTTGTTTTCCGTCAAATATTGATAATTTCCTACATAAGTTTTTATGTAAATAAAATATACAGAATGCAGCTCAGGACCAAAAAGCCTGTCGTTGCTGGGCTGAAGAATAGATACATCTGGGTACACCTTTGTAAAGTACGCAATTTGTTTACGAAGTTCTGATTTGTCCGATGTTAAGCCCATCATTCCCGGGAGCCTATTCTTTAGAGACCTGTATACGTTTTCCCGTTCAATAAGTATGGGACATGTACTGTTAGGTGCTTATCAGGCTGGTATTGGTTCATATTGCCCAAGTTCAGTTGGACAAAACGCTGCACATTGTCTTCTTGATAGAATTGGTTCGCTTACTCCACTGCCACTCGTACACCACGGTGGGGTGCCTGGTTGAGATTTTGTGGGAATTATATGTGTATAGAATAAAAGCGTACCTTACTGTTTTCATATTTTGGTGATAATGACGACTTTAATAATATTAGTGAAAGAATCACTTTTCTGTGGATGATGTTAATTGAACAACTACCATTTACTAATCGGTTTCTTGCTAATTAATAAATAGATTGGTTAACGATTTTTTTTTTCTCAACTAACAGAATGGCTTTTCGCAGATATGACTTGTCGTTCGATATGTGGGGATATTCGTTGATCCTGGTTAATGACATTTGTACAGCAGCAAATGGAGTCTACATGAAACAGAAGCTCGAGGCTAAGGTATGCATCTGCCAATCTTCTTACTGACAAACATGCGATTTACTACATCCCATTTTAATTAATTTTCACTTAAAGGAACTTGGAAAGTATGGTCTCTTATACTACAGCGCACTGTTCACAGTACTTCCTGTCGCCATACTGGCCCTCGTAAATCAAGAGTTCGATAAGGTAATGCATTTCTGTTTGACCCAATAATGCGATAATGCAGCCGCGAAGTAAAGACAACGAATAAAATTTTCTTTTTTGAAAATAGGACGTTATTTCTATTTCACCAAAATTAGTGGCGTAACTTTCCGTGGATTATTTGTTCACCAAAAGCTTTCCATACTCGTTCAACCAACTGTCTGGGGTTCTTTTACTGTGGAACTGAAATTTTCCTAATTACTGCATTGTTGGGTGGTTAGCTTGCTAGCGATTCTGACATTCCTTTTGTTTTCGAGAAAAGATTAGCAGCTC